TTTTCAATCAGTACGTGCTACCTGCTCTAGCAAATGCCAGTGAAAAGTGGACATTAACTTCACAATTGATACAAAAACTACTGGACATTAGAAGATATACAAGACTTAGGGGTGCCATATCCCTACCTATCTTTGGTTTAAGCATGATTTATTAAATAAATAATAATTAGCTTGGCTTTCCAAAATCTTCAAAGGCAGCTTAAATATGCACAAACCAGCCAATAAATAGAAAGTAATATAATAACTACTTTATAATGTCTGCTTGTGTCCTTTTACACCTATTCTTTTTAGTAGCATAGCTATACTATTCAAATAACTTAATCACAGTTTGATGTATATTGTTTAGTAAAAGTAGAAAAAGAGAAAATAAATTTGCTTGGAAAAGTGGATTTTAAAATTTAAATTATCCAAGCTTTTATTTCTAGAATACTGTTATTAATCAGCCATCTAATTCTGCCTCATAGAAGAAGCCTATAAAGGCCACAGATTCTCACTTGTGAACTTCATAGATGCTGAACAGATGGCTAAACAAAAGTGATATCACCAATCTTTTGCTTGTGATATCAGAATTAGGAAATGCTACAAATACATAAAACAGTGTTGACTTGTTTAAAAGCTTTTATATTAAAATGATGTGAGCAATTGTGGGCCTTCTATGAATTGATTTTCAGTTCTAGAAGACTTAATTAACATGACCAATCTTCAGCTCATTCATATCTGGACACTAATAGTTCTTGATCAGCTTTCCCCATATATTATCAAACCAAATACTTTCTCTTACACACACTGGCAAGTTTACAAACATCAAGTATTTCTGTTACTAAGAATGTTTTTTAGGTGTCATTGGAATCTGATTATAAAAGACTGCCATTTTTTCTGTTGCTATCCTGACTAAGGTAATGAAACAATCTAAACTTACTGGAATGGCTGCTTTAGAGATAAATGATCTTAAAATTACTGGTGATAATGTTATATCCTTCAACAGTTACAAAATACAATTTTCCAACTTAAAAGCATCCTTAAAATATTTTTAGAGATCATACACAAGACAAACTGCTAAAAAAACCTAACTACAAGTCAAAATTAATGCTGTGGGTTTGAAATATACAGACTCTGAATGTCTATGGAGATACTCAGTCATCCAGGTCATGGTTGTCCCAAAAGTACGTTTTTCAGGATGCAACTGGACTTTCTTTGTTTTTTTCTTGAAGACATTTCACTTCTCATCCAAGAAGCTTCTTCAGGACTGAAGACGTTTCTTGGATGAGAAGCAAAATGTCTTCAAGAAAAAACAAAGAAAGTCCACTTGTACCTTTGGGACATACATATTCTGATTTTAAACTTCTATTTGGATAGACAATTTTCCTGTTTTGTCCTTTTGATAAGCAATGTAACCAATACAAACTTCTGATTTCTAGTTCACCATTAAGCATTAAAGTAATGCTAATTTTCTGCAATGTCTTTACAATTTTACTCTCTTCATTCTTTCACAATTAAACCAGCACAGAATAGAGTAAACAAGTTGGAAAGGACCTTGGAGTTTTCTAGTTCAACCCCCTGCTCAAGCAGGAGACCCCATATCAGTGGTGGCTAACCTTTTTCGGCTCCCATGCCGATAATTGTGCATGCGCTGACTTGCGTGCACTCATGTGCCAGCACCCAGAAGGCAATGCGTGCTGGCTCCCCCACGCCCCCTGCACATGCCCACGTGACCCCCCTCATGCACAGCGCATCTGCGCATGTGAGCATCATTTCCCCTTGCATGCCACGCATCTGCATGCATGCACAATTCCTCCCTCATGCGCCATGCATCTTTGCGCGTGCGTGTACGACTCCTTACGTGCTGCACGTCTGTGCATGCACACGCAATTCTCCCTCTGACGCACTGTGCATCTTTGCACATACACATGCGACTCCCACTTCCGCATGCAGTGCGTCCCTGCACATGCATGCGTGTCTCCCGCACACCCCCTCCGCCCCCTGCGCATGCGCACCAGATACCTGGCAATCAGCTGTTGGGCAGTGGCAGGCACGTGCATGTGCAGTGGAGCTTTTCTGGGAGACCTTTCATGTGCTGGGGGAAATGGCTCTGCATGCCACTTCCGGCACACATGGCATAGATTCGCCAATATGGCCTTATATCATGTCATACAAATGGTTATCCAATCTCTTCTTTAAAAGTTCCAGAGTTGTAGCACCCAGAAACCAACTGTCTGTTCCCTTATCATCATCTTCCTCCTCTTCCTCCCCCCATTAGTCCTGGTGTCTGTAACTAATGTTATGTAATTCTTTCATCAATACTAATTTAGTTTTAAATTTTCCCAATAGGGTTGATTAAATTCCCCACAAATATAGCCATAAAAAGTCAGTGATCTCTTGTTGCTTGCTCTTGCACACCTACTTGTCAGAGAATCATGATCTGCAAACTTTTGACATTTGGAAATGCTGATAATGCCATTTATGATATCCAGACACTATGGGATCATGTCCAAATGATGAACTGAATGAATAAATACATAAATAATTGTCTTGGGATACAATTGATTCTTCCAAGAAGAAGCTCTTTTGCTTATAGTTTAAACCAAGTTCTATATTCTGTTTTGGAATCACTTTTTGAAAGAGCTGTCAACAATGCATTGCACCTGTCAATGAAACCTTCACTTCAGTTTAAATTTGTTGTCATTAAACAATTACTCGGTAATATACAGTTCTTCAAATCCTGGAATACCAACTCTTTTTATCAAATATTCAGTTAATCAGAAAAGCAGAATCAAAAAGTATTATATTGCAACTGACTCAAATCATGTACTCAGGTTGATTATTTCAGGTTTATGAACTCAAGTAGTTTTTAACACTTAATATGTGTTTTTAAACAAACCAACCAGAAGAGGGCACTGTTCAGCATTCTCTAGTTCCATGATGGTCTGTTGGACAGATCCTTTGATCAGGGTGGAACAAATGATTATCAGGTGACATATAATCTCAGTTGATGTATGAGGTCTATTTTTTTGTCAAGTGAAACATCTGATCAAACAGAGCCCCTAGATCGTTGTAAATCAATGGAAACATTCAAATCATATTATTCAAATCCACTATGAAAGGTAATTGGGTCAGGAGAGGGAACAACCAGGGTGCCATACATCATTGCTCATCGTCCTTTTGGAAATGAAGGGATACAACTCTATACAAATATTAAAACCAATAACAAATACATAATAAAAGATTTGTGTGTTCAACGGTATTCTTGTGATTATTTTCATATGTGTCTTTCAAAGATCCTTCATCCAGGCTTGGAATGTCAGGAAACCAAATGCAGATGGTGTACACCAAGTCCCAGAGAAGCATTATTAGTTTGGAGAGGTGAAAGGACTATTTTTTTTCTGGAAAAGCTGATCAAATATCGAAAGCCTTAAGAATCTGGGGGGCCCTTATTGAAGAGAGGGTGCCAGCATTGTGCATAGGAGAGACAAAATACATTTTGTATTCAGGTTAAAGCTAGCCGAGATAACAAGCCTGACAACACATGAAAGGTTTTCTTTTACTCTTGAAATGTAAAAGAAGATTAGTCAAGGCTAATTGAATTCTCTCAAAAACTTACACCATGTTTTTGATTCAGCCATATGAAACATGATAAACAAGATAAAAATGGGAAAATATAATTTCCATCATTAAACTTCCTATTGGAGGCTTAGTGATTGGTGCTTTTCATATATTGGCTCGTCAAATGTCAAACTTAGGTGTGAAGAGTCAGGCTCTTCAAGGCCAATTCCTGTTGAAATAGGGAATAAAGAGTAATCATATAGATTGGTTTATTTCATTTTTTTAGTATCTTAAATTTCTATTACCAAATCTCCAGCTTAGTTAGTGGTTTGTGTTCCCATCTGCTTTCCCATTATTTTTATTATACTTGATGGGTATCCGTCTCTCACATCCTCCCACATTTAAAAAAAAATATGAATGGGAATAATATGCTGATGGTTTAAATTAAGGGATGGGTGTTATGGAAACACTGTGGAACTGCTACTGTGGAACTGCTACATCTCTCTCAGTTCTAATTCCTTCTCTCATAGGCTGTACTAAAAAAAATCCTGTGATTTCTAGGAAAAAATGATATATTCTGCCATTTAGAACAGAAAGTTTGCGGATATTATCTTATATATTAAGACCAGAATTCTAGTATTAATGTTAAAGGTTTATATGGATACAGTATTTGTAGCAAAAGCTACTTATTCCATATTACACAGATATTTTACTTGCTTCAAATTTGAAAAGGACGCAGGGAAAAAATAATCTCCCAAAATTCTTAAAAAGGCAAATAATGTTGCTGTCTGCAAATAAAATAATGCTTATATACATTGGCTTTATTTCTAAGTTAATGTTTTCAGAAATATAAAGGTAAAAGCAGAAAATGTATTAGGCATGTGATTAGCAATCAGTTGCAAAATATATATAATGGAAACTAGTAGACTCAATGAAGAGTGGATTTTAGTCAGATGGTCATGTTCAGTATTTTGACCTTTTTCCGGATGATTTTTCAGGTTTCTTCTTTACATATTTGAAATGTGGTAGTTTAAAACTTGGTTATGAAAAGCTAGCATACGGCTGTAATTTGAAGGTCTGTATGTATGCATGTGTTCTAGATTCTCCATTAACAAGAAAGGCCTAACCATCTCCATGAGAAGCATGAGCTCTCTCATCTTCTACCTTAAACATCTTCATGGTAGAAAAGACAATAGGGAATTCATGAGCAGATTTTAATCCTTGTCTTATTTCAGCTCTGCATCTTTAACAAAAAAGTGTTTCAAAAAGAAACATTCAGTAATTAGCCGGAAGATTTCTTACTGTAAGTTGCAATGTTACTCAAGTATCTTCAGTCCTGTCTTGCATTTCCTGTGCAGAATGGGTATTTGCTGTGCAGTACTCCTATGAGATTTTCTTAAATGATTGAACTGCCTGGTATATGTATCATGTATCAGTTGTGATTTTCTTTTCTTTTGCAGTGACTTAGACAGAAACAATATTACAAGGATTACAAAGGTGGACTTTGCTGGACTTAAGAATCTTCGTGTTCTGTGAGTATGAAGAGAAATATTCCCCTAAAGCAATTTCTCTGTGTTGTCACTTTGCAAAACTTTGATCTGTTTACCTTGAGCACATAGCCTACTATGCAGCATGTGTTGAATTATTCCTATCTCCTACTGAATGCTCCTGCTGGTACATTCAGACACTAGCCATAATTTCACCTGATTTTGATAAATACGTCTTGAATTTTCCATATTTATAGATAGTCTTTGACTTACAACAGTTCATTAAGTGACCATTTGAAATTACAACAGCACTGAAAAAAAGGGACTTATTACTTTTTTCACACTTGTAACCATTGCAGCATCCGCATGGTCACATGATCAAAATTGAGATACTTGACAATTGACTCATGACAGTTGCAGTGTCCTGGGGCCATGTGATGTCCTTTTTCAACCTTTTGACAAACAAAGTCAATGGGGAATCCAGATTTACCTAACAACAGTGTTGCTAATATAACAATTGCAGCAACTGACTTAACAATTGTGGCAAGAAAGGTGGTAAAGTGGTACAAAATTCACTTAACAACTGTGTCACATAGCAATAGAAATGTTGGTCTTAGTTGTGGTTGTAAGGACTACCTATATTTAGTGTATGGAATAGAGTGCATGGATAACAGTAGTAAATATATAAAAGGAACAGACAATACTATGGTATATATATGATGGGAATATATAGTCAGTTTTGTAAAGTATGAGGAATTCAAGAAGTTGTAAGTTGTGGTTTATGAGAATGGAATAAGTGTTCTACATATTAATATCAAAATAAATGCAGTATTTGTTAGTTGGAAAAAAATCTGCTTTTCCTCCTGTAACCTTTCAAAGGCAGATGGTCATCATATGATCCACTGTCTGAAGAGGAGCACCATAGACACATTCAATGGGGAGGATACTCTGCCCCATTAAACAGAGAGTCTTCACAGATGCCATGCAAGGTGTAAATCCAATTCAGGGTTTTCCAGCACTGGTAATTTTTGTATCCCGTCAGATATATTTCCATAATGTTGCCTGGATACATTGAGAGAAAGAGATTCATTTCATCTCAATACTATGTCAATACTATGTCCATACTCAATACTATGTTTTTCATGACATAGTCTATGAAAAAAAAACATAGATGTAATGGAAAGTGTGGAGGACCTTAGGGAAGGAGATGCTGCCTAGGAGACAATCAGACAAGAGATGGAGGAGCTCACAGTGGCTTACTGGTCAGAGAAAAAAATGTAGAAATCCTTAATTTGATCCTTAATGGATCAAATGGTTAAAAGTGGCAATGGGAAGTTTATACTTTCAGCATTGCAAGGCTCTGTTAATGTAGCCTTAAAATAAAGAAGAATTAGTTCATCTAGTTATGTTTTCTGGGAGGGCCGACATGAATATTTCCAGTTTAAAATTACAAATTTCCGGCCATCACTTTTAACATTACAATAAGTGACAATTTAGAACAAGACTTCATGGAAAGGAAAAGCATCTGCTGTGAATATACAAAAGTAACATCAAGGGAGAAGTGACTGTGTATTAGTGTTTTGGCACACTGATGAAGGTTTATTTAGTCATTAAACGTTTATGTCTCACCGATACAGCAACTCTGACTGGCTTCCCTAAGTTCGCTAAGGAAATATAGAAACATTTTTACCCAGAGTAAGTTTATTTAATGTAAGCTTTATTAGATCAGTAGATTGGCTTGGTCATCAAAGAAATCTGCTTAGAATTTCAGATTAGGCAAACATGGCAGTGTAGAGACTGGAACTTGGTAAGTCAGGAAATAGAAATTCTAGGATGATTGTGCAAATGTATTTCAGATGCCCTAGACCATCAAGTGAACTACTAAGTATTGGCTAACTCAGAAAAGCAGAACAAAGCAACTTCAGAATTGGAACACTGATGCTTAGAATATTTGTGTTACAGTAAGCAATCAACTGTTGTGTTATGTCTTCATTCTGTCAGCATTAAAGATTCTAATCTAGCTGAGGCATGTCTGGGAATCTTCTGCCAAGTCTATTTAAGAATAGAATTAAGAGTTAAGTGTCTGGAAATTCAGGTGTAAAGTCAGACAAGCAATAAGGAATAATTTGTATGCGTGAAAAAGCTATTATCACATATACATAGTTTGAGAGCACACACATTACCCCTCATCTAAGGAGGGGTACATAATATTAAATTTCCCTATTCAATAAAGGTAAAGGTTCCCTTTGCACATACGTGATAGTCATTTCCGGCTCTAGGGAGTGGTGCTCATCTCCGTTACAAAGCCGAAGAGCCAACGCTGTCCGAAGATGTCTTCGTGGTCATATGGCTGGCATGGACTAAATGCTGAAGGTGCACGGAACACTGTTACCTTCCCACCAAAGTGGTCCCTATTTTTCTACTTGCATTTTAATATGCTTTCGCACTGCTAGGTTGGCAGAAGCTGGGACAAGTCTCACTCCATTACGAAGTGCTAGGGATTCAAACCACCGAAATGCCAACCTTTCTGATCGACAAGCTCAGCGTCTTAGCCATTGAACCACAGCGTCTCCCCCCAATTCAATACTTCTCTCTAAAAAGCTATTTGTAAAAATGGAAATAATTTATTAAAACAATTTTGTTTATATAAATAAAAATAGAAGTAAAATTTGAATAATACAGCCTTTAATTAAAGGATTATTCAAGGTGCTTGCCTGCTTTGTTAATTTTTCAGTCATTGTTATTTTCCACATTTTTAAAAGCTACTGATCCAAGGAAAGCTACATTTTAGTTTTCCACTATTTTGTTATAGTACATCAGGCAACTAACAAGAGAAATGAAATGAACGTCTTACATGCATGATTTTATATGTTCTGGAAAAATTGACTAAGGCTACACCACAATTAATTTTCAAAATGCTGTGCAGCCTTCCCAGTTTCCTAAAACACTTTTCAATCAAAATGACAAATTAAATGTACATTGCCACCAGAGTTGGTAATTTGCAACAATTTTATTACAATGTGTCCAACAGTCTAGAAAGACATTAATTCATATAATGGCCTCTGAAAGGGGATTGTCTGTGAATTATTTTTATAGTCATTTCTTAATGAATTGCCTCAATACATTTAAAAGGAACTTTATATTTCATATCAAAATTTTAAATTTTGATATAGAATATAAAGTTCCTTTAAAATGTATACACTGCATTATCTGTCTGTCAATCTATCTATCTATCTATCTATCTATCTATCTATCTATCTATCTATCTATCTATCTATCTATCATCTAATATAGTATATAAATTTTGGATTTGATATCAACAAAAATTACGCTCATCTTTACCTACTACATTCACCTGTCCCACTCAGTCAGACAGGAAGGTATTTTGTGAATCCAATCAGGTGAAAAAATTTGACTGGCGGAGTCAAGGAAGACAACCTTCTCTGATGTTGCCCCCATCTTGTGGAAAATTCTCCCACCCCCAGAGAAAGGCAGGATCAACTCTTTGGCCTTTCATAAATGCTTGAAGACCTGTCTCTGCCGATTTGGTTGGGGTCCACAGAAAAGCAGGCAGCCTTGAAGCCCTTCCCCCTCTTTTTAATTGTAATTATTTTATTGTTTTTAACTTTTTTTTATAATATTTATCTAGATGATTTTTATGACTATTTGCACATCAACCAGAGTCACTCTATGATGGAGCTGGGTTCTTTCTAAATATGATGTACTGTATAAATAAAATACAATAATGTTTTTGTTAAGATATTTTCCATACTGAAATAAAGAGTTTGAAGTCCTATTCAATTGTTTTAAAGTAGCAGATTCAGATAAATTATCATGTAGATTGCAACAATCGGGATGATTGATAAAATAGATGGCTGTCTTGAGTTTTTGAAGCCCACATATGGATGTCCAAGCTAAATAAGTATTGCTGTGCAGTACAAACTTATATATGCTACTCATAAGTAAATTTCAGTTTGAATGGCAGTTACTTCCAACTAAGGTGTTATATGGCAGCCTCCTATTCAATAAACTTCAGTTTAATGATGTCATTCAGTATTATGAGAGAAACAATAGTGAGTGACTATATATAGAAGTAAAACTAAATCCTGAAAAGTCATTGCCTTTGTCTGCATTCTGTAGAGGAGGTGATAGATTGACTTTTAGGAAGGGAAAATGTTTTACATTTCTAATTCCAAAGTTTCATTATTTTTTTAATGCTACTGAAATTTTCTCTTATAGGCATTTGGAAGAGAATCTAATTAGCATGATAGAACGTGGAGCATTTCAAGATCTAAAGCAACTAGAACGACTGTAAGTATTATCTTTAATTAAACCAATTATTTAATTAATAGGTGGTAACATTATGCAGGTGTGTTTGAAATGTGGTGGGTGACAAAGTATATTTCATTATTCGAAAAATGAACCTTGAGCAAGATTCAAATTTGGCTTGTTAGAATGATATGAAAAGAAGTGCACTATGTTCTGTTAAAAGCATAACTATTCAATGTTTGTTTATCTTCTATGAGAATATATAGTACTTTACAAGGCACCAGAAAATGGGCCTTCGCCCTAATCTAAAATTTGATGAAGAAACAGGAACAGAAGATGATGAAAGAAATGGCAGAAGTAAACAGGGTAGCAATCTATAGTATAGTTACTACCTAAATTTCAATAAGATACAAGAACTATGGCAGTCTAATAGCTATGCAATAAAAAAAGAGTCACAAGGAAAGATTTCATCACATTTAGAGAAGTAGCTTGAATTTGGGGATGCACTTTTATACTGTCTTCTGAATTGGAGGCAAAAGTGAGGGTGTAAGGAAGCATTTGAATTGGTTAAGTAAGGATATACTAGACAGAACTTTAGAGACGGGAAAACAAAGGAAGCTATAAAAAGGCAAGATACATGACTTTTATATTGAATTTAGGAATTTAGGAAGTATTAGGAGTAAGCTCATAATAGAGTAGACCTGGTTGACCAAAGAAATGCAGTCATGCGAAGGAGGAAATGACTGCAATAATTTAGGGGCAGTTGGAAGGGGATGGACAGAATTTTGCTCATAGGATAGAGAATAGAGACCCTACATTATGATAAAAATAAAAGCAACTCAACTTGAGCAACACTTAAATATGAGGAACAAGGGAGCTTATACTTACCTGCTGATATTGAAATGCTTGCAGTGATTCATAAGAACCCTCCATCATCACAAAAGCTTATTTTCACAACCAGTTGCATCTTGACTTCTGTAATTCTTTTTCAGTAAATGCTGAATTTGCCCATGGTGCCAAAAGCAACTGAAATTACCTGTGTGCGACTGCTGCTACCTACTATTTGATTGCCCTTAAATATGAATGTACAGTTGTAGCTAAATGCCAAACACTCAGCTTGGTCTGTGGCAAATACGAGCTTGATTCCATTTGGCAAAATTGAGTCTCATAGAGTTGCTTAAATCAACATTAAGAAGAAATATACAATCATTGCAAACTTTATGGCTTGTGGAAATTCTGATATAATATGTCATAAGATGAATGGCAGTTCCTTAGCTTAATACATTTTTATATTGAAAAAGTGAAAGTTAGGATACAGTTTTAAACTAGATTTTATTTGTACAATTCCCTTTTTTACTTCTGTTGAAAATATATAATATGTATTTTGATTTGGTACATTCAGTGAAAAAAAAATACTGTGAGTTCAATTTAATAAAGTTTCTGTTATGACTACTAGACTTTCTCCAGCCAAATAGTTTTTAATATTGCAATAAAACATAACGGGAAATAATACTTGCTTCATTTGTGGTTATTTTAAAAGCATAAAACTGTAAAATACTGAATGAGTGTAGTTTTGGTGGAATTTTACTTGCCACTTTAAAGTGAAGCTAAAACTATAAACAAATTTTTTTTAAAAAAATGTGTGACTTGTCATGGTTTCTGCATGTAAAATTTTAATATATGAAAAGGCCCATAGATTGTGTTTGAGCCAAAATCCTACTTGTAGACTTATGTGTCCTAAAAACTGTAACATAGATTAAGCAACTGGATGCACATAAGTTTCAGAACATACTGCAGTGATTGATTTTAATAGACAGAAAAGTGCTTGAATTATAATGTGTGAATAAAATGCAGTCTTGGAAATGGTTCCATCATAGAAAACTGATGTTCAGCTAAGGGTGCTATTGGTTCTGCTAGAGTGAGTGTGAGCTAAATGATGTATCTCCACATTAGTAGAGGTATGAACACTTCAGTACTCTTATTAAATATGTCCTTATTAGAATAGTTAAGTTAAGACAAATGTCCATATGACAAGGCTTACGTGTTGTACTAAATTATAATTTATTTAGCAATGGCTTGTTGAATAAATCATAAATGATTGCATTCAGGCAGTAACCTGAAACATTGTATAGTTTTCCTTGGTTTTGTTTAAGCTGTTATATAACCTTGGTCCACAGATTGGCAGTGCATATTATAGATCATTAGGTTTTTAAAAAATTCTTTTCTTAATTTTTAAAAAAGCATTATACCAAGACATGCTCATTTGATATTCTGAAAAAGATGTAAATGCAGGTAACGGATTCCATATATTTCAATACAACTTTCTTTGCTGTTCTGAACATGCTTTGATTGTTTCAGCTTGAATTTTTCCAGCAATGAGGAAACAGCAATTAGCAGAGAAGGATTGGCAATATGAGCAATCATATTCTGAGCAAGAAATAGCACTTTCATGCACTGCATCAAAGGATATTTTATTCCTTGAAAGCAATGTTATGAAATTCTTTGTGAATAATTTCCTATTTAGTCACTAACAAGAGAGTTGATGAACTAGGAAAAATGAACGTTCATCTGTTTCATGATAATCTTCACTTAGATCACAATCAAGTTGTATTTGAAAATAATCACTCTTTTATCACTTTAAGTTTTTCTAATAAGATAACATTGTTTATGATGGCCAATCTTTATGAGATATGCATAGTTCTATTTTAATTTTACTAAGTTACTATTTTTTCCCAATACAAGTTTGTTTTTCCCATTCTTGCTTCAATGAGCTTAAAATAAAATAAAGCAAGAAAAAAGTATACATTTACAACTTCTGGAGAGTATTAGCTTGAATATATTAATTATCAACATATTTTACTGAGGCTTATATGCCACTTTAATTGTTGTCAACTCTGAACAACATGCACCTGTAAATCAAGTTAAAACAATAAGAGTGATTATGATAATATTTTTTTAGAAACCCAATGATATAGAATACAATAACACCAACGCTGTATTTATATACCGAGGAAGATAAGCCGCGTTAAACAAACAGGTACTTCAAGAAGAACAGTATGATAACAATTCAGCTTCCATAGACTGATGAAGACAGCTTTTTGTGGCTTTCCTAAATTTTAGTAGGATTCGGGCTAGTAGGAAGCTCTGAAGGAATTGAGAAAGGTGCATTTGTGATTCCTGCTGATGACACTTTTTGAGAAAAATGAACACAATCAATCATACCTATTGAACGGATAGGGAATAGGCAGTACTGAAGTTACCCAAATTCTGAGCTATGAGGAGCTTCAAGAATGATTTTGCATTCATATCGGAAGCATCAAGATGCTTGAGGAATAGCCGGTGATAACACCGTTGCCCGTGGGATGGTCAGTTGGGGGCTCCTTTTTAAGAATGATAATCAACATCTTAAATTCATTCCAAAAATCAACCGATAGAAAGTATAATTCTTAAAGTAATTTTGTAATATATGCAAATTGATAGTGTATCCAGATTTTAAAATTGCCATTGCCTCCTTTCTGGGGCTAAGAGAAGTGACAAGGCCCCCCACTGACTCTGTGCCCAAGGCAGAAAGAACTAGAACTCACTGTGTCCCAGTTTCCAGTCTGATGCCTTAATCACTACGCCAAAGATGTCAGACATTCCACTTTTGGTACTGTAGTTTAGCAACATCTGGAAAACCCTTCCTTGTTTAAATTGTAAAGGGTTTACCCTAACTGATTTGATCTACTAACTTGTAGAAATAATTTACGAATGCCAAATGGCAGTATGTTAAACTGAGAAATCTTATATTTTGGATGTAATAGCAGTTCTTTCTTTATGGCTACCATTGTTTGGGTTATATGGTTTGGAAATGAAACAGACTTTTTAGCCAGTATTTTCTATTTGCCATTACTAGTGTGCTAATATGATTGGCAGGACAATAATACAGAGTTCCATTCATAATATTGTGTGTCTGTCTTCAGCTAGCAATAACTACAACCCTACAACCCTTTTGATCTCTCTCCGTTGATGAGAGTAGACTTTGCTCCTTACTAAATATTTTAAAAATTGATGCCTCTTCAGCAGAGGAAGCCATTAGCAGCTCTGTCAACAGGTCTTCGCAGGAGGAAGCTAAACTCAGGAAAAGGGCAGCTAGGAAGACCACAGGCATAGTCTAAGAAATTATTTTGGTCCGCATGGGTGCATATGTGTAGGCCAGAAAAGCACAGAAGCTTATTTTAACTAATAGAATAATAAGCCATCCTGATTTCATCAAAAAACATTTGTGTAGTAGGTCATTGACCCATAAGAGCTCAAGGAAAAACAAATATGGGTCATGTTTAAACAGTCCAGAGGGTTTAAAACCACAATTTCTTTGCTTCCAAAAGAAGCAAGAATTATAGTAGTGAAGGAAGGTGTTCATAAGCAGGAGATAAATAATACTACTGAAGTAATAGTTTTAGTATATTCCTATTTATTCTTTCCTGAAATATGATTAAAACTATGACATCTACATTTAGAATATGGATTACTGTATGCATTTGTGAAATGCTTGGTGGCATCATGATAATAATGAAGTATCGGTGCATACAAAATACTATCTGTTTGCAGCCTCTTCTCTTTTAAGGATCATATACTGTATGTCTATTGGATTGTAACATACATGTGGCATGCTAGATTATTGAGATTTGGGACAATTCTTAAGTCCTTTTAGAGTATTCCCTAGAGTTTTGAAATTTCTACAGCTTTACTGGGAGAGAGACTGGTGTATCTTGCTGTCTTCTCACTGAAGACAAGATCAGACAGTACCCAAAGTAAAGTATATGTGGAGAAAAGATCATTAACAACAACCAGGAAGGAAGGCAGAAAACATATCAAGCAGTGAAGGAAGAGAAGAATACGTGGAATGTAATAGATGCTGAAACTTTTCAGAATTTGAAAAGGAGGCCAATACTATTGCCAGAGCTTTCAGAATGCACATAGACACTAAAAGTCCCTTGAGGCAGAGACTGATAATAATGGCTCTCTCAGAGGGGTAAAGCCAGATTTCAATGACAACAATA